ATCCTGTAGACGTTTTCAAATTCCAGTTCAATTTCAGAAGTCAAATTTCCCTACTGGTCAGGATAGGTAGGGTAAAACAAGCATAAAATGCGTTCCAGTCAAATACCTTGAGCGTGATTTTCTTTTGCCTAGTTTTAATTGCCTGTCTCGTCTGAACCACAACAACAACAACAATAGTAATAATAGTAATAATTGTACCGATGCTTTCTCCCGATCGCCGTACAGCCATCGGTTTCATTTTTGTACACTCCACTCCCTTGTTGGTGATGTTATTGTCTCAACCCGTCTGTCCCCTTCATCAGATGCACGTGCTGTCCATGAACAACGGGAGTGTGGTCGCCTTGAATCGCACTGCATCCAACTCAACTCTTGCCAGCCCCGGTCTCCCGATAACCGGTGCCACATCCACCATGTCCACTGCCTCCGTGCATGTATTTCGTTTTCCCTCTGCCGCACTGGCCAAATTGTTCTGGCAGTACGCGGTCGCGTGTCATGCATTCTTTCGCATTCGTGAACCGTCCTCCGGAGGTGGCGGTGTCGGATTTCGTGGAAGTGTGGCTGGGAGCACAATGACTTCGATCTCGGCCACTGCATTCTATGCGGCAATCCAACGAGCCACTGGCGGATTTCGACGCTACTTCTCCCTGGCCCGACGGGACAGTACCGTCACCGCCAGTCTCAGCGGACCAGTGGGTGGAATTGGACGTACTCTGTCCACTGTGATGGAACTGCGTCGGAATTCCCGCGTATTCGATCGTGGTTTTTCCCGGTATGTGTTTAGTTTCATTTCGTACGAAACGAGTTTTGTCGCATCTGATTTTTTTTGCTGTGAGGTATGCTACTCAATGGTAATGTCCATTCGCCACAGTAATTGTTTCTGTAGTATAATCCTTACGGTCGAACATGTGATGATCAAGGACATTCTGCTTTCCTCCCTCACACTCCGGGGGTTTCCTTCTAGTCGTAGTAATAAAGGATAAAAATATATCCTTTTGCTCGATTGTCTCTTCAAGCATAGTTTGCCCTCGGCACAGTCCATTCTCGCGGTGCTGTCATCAAACATCCGTGTGTTACATTGCAACGTAAATCTCTTAAGTTCTTCTTCCGTTTCAATCCTAGTGACAGTTGTTCACTGGGCGCATGTTCGTCTCTTTCGTGTATGATCAAAGTGGATTTGCTATTGACTAGTATCCANTGAGATGGGAATCGATTGTTCCAGGGCATCTTGTCGTATTAGGTGTAACAAACAACTATTGTCTGTGTCAGTTGATTACAAACGATTTTTTTTCATATGTATATATACTACATATATATTCAACAGGTAAAGAAGCCAAAAACAGATTCAAATGCAAATCAACGAATAAGATTCTCGCAACAGGTAGGCCATTGACACCGGTTTTGAGTCATGTTGGCTAGTGTCTCAAGCGGTTCGCTGTCATTGGAACCCTGATCTGGGAGCGTAGGGCGTCCTACGAGTGCCTTCATTGTTCGAGTTCAGGTTTCTCGTTCCTCACCTTGTCGTGGCTTCCATCTAGTGCCTCGGCTTGCCCAAACATAACTAACACGATGGTGCAGTCGTTGAGCCGGCATCCAACCAATGAAGTCTCGGGAGCGAGATGACGGTACTCAGTGGACGACTAATATTGTCTGAGTCGAAGATTCTCCAACGAACCTCATCGTCAGTAGTTCGCTGTTTCCAACGTATTCTGGTGAGTCCGTGAAGGCAACGGTGATCGAAGACACTGTCTCCGTACGTTTTGTGTGTGAAGGGGCCAACTCTCGCAGCCGTAGAGTAAGACTGTGTATGGTGGCATTGTAGACCTGGCCTTTCAAGGAAAGACAGATCGCTCCGACACCACTGGTGACGTAGTTTAGCGAAAGCCACCCGAGCCTTGCGGATTTGCGCTTCCCTCTTGATTCCCTCTTGATCTGAAACAACTCCCAAGATGGGTAAAATGATCGACAATTTCCAATTGGCCTCCCGTGAGCGTGAGAGTAAGTCCTGCCTTTTGTCGGTTTTGCAGTGGGACCTTACATTTCGATAGAGAAGTGATTCTTCCAAACTTTGTAATGGACACCGCTAACTTGCACAGGACGTTTCGAACGTCTTGGAAGGAGTCGGGGAGTATAACGATGGCTTCACACAGTCGATTAACTGGGAGAAAACCCACGCCGGAGGCTCTGCAGAGCGCTGCTTAGAGTTTTGCACATTGTGAAATTCAAGAGGGCACCCTTGTTGGACTTTGCTTGTGATCGTAAATGAAGGGGAGCTGTGGTCATAGACCTTGATATGGCCAGATGTTTTTTGAGTTGACGGCCTTGAGAAGCTTTGCGTACTTCTCAGGTATACGGCTTCCTAACAGACAAGTTCAGGGAACTCCTCTGTCACTTGAGTGAAACGCAGCAGTATGTCCAAAAAGACAACAATGTTCGGTCTCCTGAATGTTTGACGTTGGTCGAGAATCTGATCCAGAGTGAATATGTGGTGAGGGAGTTGCTCCCTCCGGAGCGGAATGCAGCTTGCTTTTCACGAATATGACGTTCTCTTATCCAACTGGGTCTGCGAAGAACCAGCGATATGATCATCTTGGATGGAACAGATATGAAACTAACTCCTCAGTGATCAAAGCGATCCTGATCTGACTCTTCTTGAAAACAGGTGTGACGTCCTCCAAGCTCGTCGGACTTAATGGATTCATTCAGTATTTCAGATAGTTTGGAATGCGGAAGTTAGTTCTCGGGCAAGGCTTGTGCCAATATTTTTGAAAAAGGCTGGACGGAGCTCATCTTGGTGTCGGGCGATTTGGGGTGTTTCATAAATCTTATCTCTCTCTCGGTAGGCGATGAAATGTCTACAGATCATCGAGCACTGCGCATGTCATGCGATGGAGATATTTATGTTGATGGTCAAATAAATTGTCGATTGAAGTGCTCCGTTCAGTCGATTTCGTAGATTTAGGATATGGTATGGCTTACATCTGACTGAATGATTTGTGTTCATACATGCCTGTGGTCAAATTGATTGATCGATAAACTGACTGTTTGAATTCTGGCTTGACGGCATTCGCATGTAATGCGACGTGTGAGCCGGACTCTGCCTGCCTGCCTTCCTTCACGCTGATCGTTCCTACCTTTTCCCCGGTTTGTTTAACGGCTATATATTTGCTGTTCACAATAAAATTACTGCTTAATACGTTGTGTGCTCATTTGGCTACTAAATTTGGGACACAACAGGATACGCTTGCCCTTGGTTTCGTATATGGTCTCACTCACGCATGATTTTTCGGTAATGGTGGCTTGGATTGGTCACAGAAGCTTGTGAATATTACCGGAAGCTGCGGTTAGTTTCATCTCAGAATCGCGTGATGCCCACCAGGTTTCTCTTATAAGAAGCGTTTCAGTTCAGCACAGATAGTCCTGCAAAATGTGTTCTATTCAATATCTGAAGGAACACTTCGATGGGTATCACGCAATCCGAAAGGACTTGTGAAAACGCAATGGCTGACAGTGCGTTTGATAAAGCCACCTGCTGTGGTGACAGATTCATATATGGCGTTACGGATGTGAGCCCACTGGCTTTCAACGTTCAATACTGATGGTCTTTCTAGGTGAGCAAGCATTCAACGTGTTATGGTTGGCGATAACTACATTCGGGTCGGTTAGCTTTATCAGATCTAATCTTCTCGGGTGACTTTGGCTGCGTCCCACCTGGGCGCTGAGAGAATTTCGCCAATGCGTGATCAGAACTATGGCAGGTACTCCAGACGAGTTTGCAGTCTGTTATGCAGTTTCTTTGTCGATAGCTGATAGCAATATCATCTACTCGAATCCAAGCCTGATCATGATGAAAGTCGCCAGGTCATCGAAAATCGGTGCTCGAAAGGAATAGACCGTGATCAGTGCAGAATTGCATGAAGTGCTCACCGTTTTCGGTTCTCCTATCACTGAGGCTATGCTAGCCGCCGAAGTGAGGTTTCTTCAGCATCTCACCTCTCACTCAAGCGTTTAAGTTGCAGCCCAGTAAAATAATGCCATTGTGTCTTCCATTGTGAGGACTGTCGGTGAGCTTCTGCTGCATCGGAACTGCAGTCTGTGGACGCGTAAGCCGCGAAGATGAAAACAAAAATCGTTTATTGGTCTTGCTACGAGATGCTCTTACCGAACCTTCTCGACGGATGCAGCGTCCAGTTTATCGGGCCATACAGTCTTAATTTTCAGTTTGTACAACCATTAACCATGCACTTTTTGGCGCCGGTTTTAGTTACTGTGTTTTTTTGGCTGACCACTTCAGTGAAGTAGTAGGAGAAAGACAGGAAAATTGAAAATAGAGTCGAATAGAAAATGAGGCATTTCAGTGGACTAAGGTTGCTAAGAAATCGAGAAGATCCTCGAACGCCACTGTTGACGACTCTCAGTCATATCTCCAATCGCTAGTTACAATGATCCGGAGATATAGCTGCCCCTTGGACGGGTTCAAATGTCCAAGATACTTAATACACCTCAATGTCCCATAAAACTGGAGATCATTGTCACAACCAGGAGGGTGTAGATGTGGTGTGAACGTCTGTTCATGGTTGTTTTAGGACCAGAATTTTTTACCAACTCTCCTAGGTGAACTTCCAGAGGTTCACCAATCCGGTTATAGTTTCGGACGTTAACTTCTTATCCGCTCATTTTTCGGTGGAAAAACACAGCCACGGGAAGGCACGGAGTAAGGTTTCCTCAGTAGAGGCTATCTGAAACGCTCAGTCCTATAGGAGTTGTGACGGAAGAGTAACTAGTCATAACCCCGGATGCCCACACTGTGTTTTTCATCATCACCACCACCACCATCATAATCATCACAGTTTTGGTGTCTCTCATCGAACGAACGATCTATTCTCCGTACCATTGGAATCCAGGACGAACTACTTGACCATCAAATACGTTACATCCTACGCTAGCATTATTAGAGCATTTTTTTTTAAATTCTGAACCAATACAGTGAACATTGTTAAGATTATGGTAAAGCGGTATTCCTCCATCTCTGAGGCTAGGTGCGGTTCTGATTGTTTTTGTTCTCTCAAATGTCATTCTTGCGGAATCACCTGCGCTCCCGTCCCGGTCCTCTCCGTGCTAAGTTCCGAGGGCGCTTTTACCCTGTTGATTGGCACAACCTCAGTCTCTCTTCGTCCCTCACCGCCGTGCACCTTTCAATCAGATATTATTTTTGTCAGTACCTTACGCCATCAATCTCAAAAACTGATCGGAGACTTTAGAGCCCAATAAAAAGCATCATTTTCGATAGTTTTGTTCTTTTTTAGTCCCACACAGAGTGTGAACTAAACTACGAGTATTCATTGTTTCCCAGAGCCGCGGATGGCACTTGTGTGTGTGTGTGTGTGTGTGTGTGTTTGTTGCCAGCCGGTCCGCATTTGGCTTACCGCTTTTGCAGCTTACACTGATTCCGCTGCTTATCCAGATCACGACCAAAATAAGAGCATGTCTAT